GCGATCAAACCAGCAATTGCAAAGGCAGTTACAACAATGCCAGGCTGATAATGGATTATTAGAATATAATCGAGATCAGCTCTTTGATAGATATTACAATAAATTCAAAGATCGAAAGGCAAGTCATATCAAGTGGAAAAATAGGGAGCGTAATTCACAGCAATTAATTTTAAATTTAAATCAGCAAATTTTTGCGCTTCAGAATAATATACAAACAAACATGGCATTACAACCACTACCATTACCAAATTTTTCCGGAGAATATGATGAGGATATTGATATTTTTATTAGTCAATTATCGTCATATCTAGCTGGCACTGGTATAAATCCAGTTGGAGCTCGAGATCAAGCATTTGGTATTCTTCGGGAATGTTTATCTGGACGAGCATTAGAATGGTTTGATCGAAAAATTCTTGGTAAGCGTTGGGAACTTCATAATATTTTTGCAAATCATGATCAGGCTGGTATGGGTAATCTCTGGGCTCGCACTATGGCACAAATGAATACTAGTAATAGTTTTAGAAACCCTTCAATCGCTCACGACTATGCGAATATTGCTGGTAATAATGCAGTAACAGTAAGAGTTTCAATGATTCCAGCTGAAGCTTTTACTGAAGATTGGTGCTTAGCTGGGGAGCAACCATCAGATAGACCTGTTAATGCAATAAATGCTGGTAATAACAATCCAATAGTATTTGGAGATATTCGAATTGGTCAAGCATTATATTGGCTTAGAACTCAATATCTCATAGTAATTAGTGAGAAACGCAATTTAGTTTATGGATCATTAGTTCAGGGGAGTGAACTTATAGGAGAATTTTACTCAAAACTCTTAAAATATGGGAAAATGCTTAATCTTGACGAGCAACAAATTAAGGGTCAATTTCTACGAGATCTATCTCCAGACTTGAAGGACGATGCAGAGCGCATAGGTACTGAACAGCCATTAGCTGATCTTTTTGAAATTTTGGAATGGATTGAAATACGGAGAGCAGAGAAAAAATTAGGATTGGTTACTAAAATACCCCAGTCTGGTTATAAATCGTCAATTAAATCTCATGGTAAAGATAATTACTCAAGCAACACAGGTATGACCAAAGATGAAATAGAAAACTTCGTAAAATCTATCATGGCATCCACACAATGTCAACCTGTCTCACAAACTATCTCTTCTAAACCTCAGGAGAACCAGATCACGCTTTCACAAGATGAATTCAAAAAAATTATAGTGAGTTTAAAGGGATCTATTGCTAAAGGACAGCAGACCTTGAAGAAACCCCCTGGACCAGGGAAACGAAAAGCTGATGATCTTGCTATAGATCATTTTTTAGATAGTTTACCAGTTGATACAAGTTTACCTGGAGAGGAGTATGATTATGACCCGGTTGAAGATTTGAGATTACAATTCGAGGAGTTGGATATCAATCAAGTAAAACTAGCTCGAATAATACATGCTGTTTTAAGATCATCTCAATACAAATGTTCAAAGTGTGATAAAACAGGCCATAATTCTCGCAATTGCTCTAAAAATAAAAAGAAAAGCAAGTCTAGACGTTCTAACAGGAACAAATCTGGCCGTTCTAACAAGCGCAAGTCCAAGAAAAAAGGCAGTGTCAATATTACTACTGTAGATTCGAGTTCTGACTCTGATTCTAATACCAACTCTTCAGATAATGAATCTAATTCTGACTCTGAGTCTGGATCTGTTTCTGGTTCTGAATCGGAATCTGATTCTGAGAATAACTTTACTGAGGATGACATTGTGAAAATTATAAATGCTGTCAATGCTGTTAAATCAAAAAAAAAGTAAAGCGAAAAAGTAAATTATCCTCTAAAAAGAAGTCTAGTTCAAAGAAACGTACTTCACAAAAGAAATCAGGTATGATTATCGACTCACAAATTTGAAAAATTATTCTAGCTATGTTTAATGATCCAAAGGTTATAGAAACAATTAAAAACAATATTAATAATACGAATTTATCTATAACTCGAAGAGTCGTCCCTAAAGAGCCTGCAAAATCCGACTTTATAAATTATCGAGAGCCGGTCCTGGAAATACCCGAATCAGATGACGAAGAAGAGACGCTGAATGATCCTATGGAGATTGATTTTGTCCGTCGGAAAGAACTGGTAATTAGTATTGCAACTATACCGGTTAAAATTAAATGCTTAAAAATTCCAGCATTGGTACTTGATAGTGGTGCTGAACCCGCAATTATATCAGAAGATATTGTTAAACGCATAGGTGGAAAAATAGATAGGTCAGAAAAATATGATCTCAGTGGCGTTGCTACTGTTCCAACGGAATCTATTGGCATTACTCATAATTTACCAATAACATTTCCTCCAGGTTTTACCATACGTGAAGATTTTGTAGTTATACAAGTTCCTAAACTGACATTAATATTTCCAAACCCGCTTCTCAAAAAATATAAATGTGCTGTAAATTGGGATAACAATAAAATGAAGATTCATTATAATGGAGAAGATTTTATTATTCTGGTTACTATGCACAAAGTCAAGAATAAACTTGAAGTAAATTGCGCTACTGCGTCTCAGAATGATAAGCCTTTGATATCTGATCAACTTTCTCAAGAGACAGATAGTGATAAGGATAACAACGTACCATTAGAAGAATGGCATGCTCCTGCGGGTTTTAGCCCAGATGATGCAGAGCATCGAATCTTTGATTCCTCTGATAATTCGACTTTAAAAAAAAATGCGTAAATTGTGAGAGGGCTATCAAAATTATTACCGAGCTTAATATTCGTAACAGACTTTTACAATCAAAATACGAAACTATGAATAAAGAGAAAACTGATTAAGAATTGCTGGTGATAGACACAGAGTGACTATTTAATATGTGATCTGATCTTTCTATTCGTTTCTCTCCCTCATTTAATGCTTCTTCAACTTGGGTATCACTAATAGTGGATAAATCGGAAACTCGAATCGATTTGGATTTTGATCGCCTCTTTTTTATCTGTTGATTTGAAGTTTTAACTGAAGTGTGTAAACTCGAAGAGTCATAATTCAAAGAAGAGACAGAGTCTCGAATCTCAGATTCATCGCCCAATGACCTGCTCTGTAATAAAGGTATATAGTTATCTTCTAATTGATTATTTATTGCGAAGCAATGACCCTTTGGGTCTAGAGATACAGATGTTATTTCGGAAGAAATTGTACTTTGTACCTGAGATGGATAAAAATCTATCATTTGCTGTTTACGTTTCTGATTCTCAATATATTCTTTGGCTCGAGAAACAGATATACGATATTTTTTTGCCATTGTATTTATGGCATCAGATACCCTACTGAATGATGTTTTAATGTCTTTGATGGCCTCATCTAATAAATATCTTGCATTAGCGCTATAATATTCTTTATGAATACGACCCATATCAGAATATTTTTATTGTTTATGAACTATTAAAAAAATAAAGAAAAT